TAATGTTTTTTTAACGATAAATTAATTTTTGGCTGTTGGTCTCTAGGTTTTTAGCAATGTACTTCTCAAATTCTTTTTTAGCATCCCTTATTGTCTACTTGCATGTCTTTGACTAAATTTGTGTTGCTTTTTGTTCTCAGCATTTGGACAAAAACATTTCTTGAAATCAAATGTTACCATTTTGGGTTTTCTTAGGAATCTGTTGGTTTGGGTGGGGACTATATCTTCTTTTTTTGGTTTGTTTAATTTGTTTTTAGTAGATATATAGGTGTTTTCCCTTTTTATGGGGCATGAACTTTTATTCTGTGCAATGGGTATTCTGTGGTGCCTGTGACATTTTTCCAGTTTTGTCTATATAATGCTTGCATTGTTCTTTATTCTTAATAAGGTTACACTTTAAAACAGAGCAGGTTGGTCTTCTCCCTGATGGTTAGGAATCCTACAAAACGGATTAATTGGATTTGCTGAAGTAAAGAGCTCATGTTGAGGATGCCAGGACTCTGATGGTCCATTTGTGCACTCCCTAGCTCCAGCTTGAAGGATGTCAAAGGCTACTGTGGCTACATGGACAGATATAGGGAGCTTCCTTTGACTATATGGGTTCTAGCCATGCCTGTCCCCTGTCCCCTGCATCAGATATAAAGTGGGATTGCCCTTAATTCTGCTACAGTATTCCCTTGACAGGACCAAAACCTGATTTGCCTGTTTCCCATCCCAATGCTTTATCAAGTCATCTGCCAACTTTTGCTGTTGTCGAAATGAGGTTGTGGCTTCCCTTGTTGCTTGTCGTCGTTCCCCCTTCTTCACGTTGCCCTAGCAAAAGGTCCCTCCTGCAAGATGGATATTGTTCAGTTCTTCCAACTTCAGGAGGAGTGCTGGCATGTTTATTATACAGCCCAAATAAGTTGCCTAGGTGTTGCCCCTCCCTCTTTGTGGGTTTGTCATTCAAAAGAGTGGTTACAGACGGTCTGCAGTCACATCCAGACTATACATTTAAAGCACTATGATACCATTGTAACATGACTTCCCCCAACATTTTGGAACTGTAGTTTGTTAAGGGTGCTGAGTGTTGTTAGGGTGCCTGCCACCCTGGGCTTCTTTGGGAAGAAATGCAGGATATCAAACAATCAATTAAATAGGAGACCCCTGCCCACACCCCTCACAGACCTACAATTCTCAGAGTGGTTTAACAATTAATCCCTGAAACTTCTGCATGGAATTTGTCACTGCTCTTCCCTCTTCAAGCCCCTTCTGGTTCAAGAGGACAGTGGGGCAGGGAGTGGTGGGGATTCAGCTGCCCTGTCTCTCACCTGAGCAGCCTCTTCCTCCACTTCTGACAGGTTTTGTGCCCCAACCTCTGTCTTTGACTGCTCTGACCCTTCCACTTCCCCCTGACTTGGCTCCTGCCACACAGGTGGCGCCAAAACCCATAAGCCACTGCCCCCCCTCCTGTGCCAGTCTGACATTCCTGTGCAGATTGTGTTTTTGCTAATAGTTAATTCCAACCTGCACCATGTGATTTACTGCTGTCTTGCTTCTGACATAGCTGTGTGTGTTTTGGCTCCATCTATGCATGCCTAATGTGGACAGCTTTGTCATCATGCAACTCAGTGACTGGTGTGTGCCATTAATATTGGGAGCGTGGGACGATTCAACTGCAACCAGATTCCCTTTTCCCCAGGATTGTTGACACAAGTCCAGAAGATCTGTATGGCAGCATCTTACTGATATAATTGCAGTAATATTCAAAGTAGTACAGTGGCGCATAAAGAAGATATGGAGATCTTATATGCCATTAAGTCAGGCTGAAATTATGTATTAACCATTGTTTGCAAAGGATCTTAATTACAGTTCTGTTAGCAAGTTACTCATTATGTATTTCTCTGAAGCCTTTACCAAAAAAGAAAAAAAACTTCTAGTTATTTCTATTTTATTGCATAACACTAAGACTGAATTATGGTATATTAGTGGTTTGATAATGCCATAGGCAAAAACATGTGCATATGTAAAGGAGCTTGGCATTTTAACATATGTAATTGACTTGTAAAAGATTTGCATTGCCAATAGTAATTATCATGGCCAGTACTCTAGTGATGGCCTGCCACAGTTATTTTGGGTTACTCTGTCATCTGTATGATTAAATTAAGTGATACATTCTAGTTTATTTGTGTAAGTTCATCTTTTTAGTGTCAAAGGGCCACGGGAAACCCAAACATTAAGAAGTTGAGTCTTTTGACCCAATGTAGATATTTTCCTGTGTTAGCCTATTATTATTATTATTATTAGTAGTAGTAGTAGTAGTAGTATCATCATTATTACTAATACTACTACAGAGTGCCACTAATAGAGAATAGGCAAGGTGCATTGCACCAAACTGTCTACAGTTCAAATTGACCAAAACTACATGATCCAAACTACATCCTGCAATGGAGTACAAAAGTAAGCCAACCAAGCCTATGAAAATGATTAATTTCTGATCCTCAAATACAGGGTTGGGTCCAAAAGGCGTACTTGTGCAAGAGGAAAGTACTTAAAGTTTGTAAGGTGTGGAGGGTGTCCCCCTGATTTCTGTGGATTTCTTCTCAGCTGCAAATCACATGTTGTTCTGGCTGGAAGGTTTTCCACTTGTCAAAAATGGCTTTTTGAAGGTGAAGAAAATTGCAGCAAGAGGCAATAAAGTTCTCATTCTGCCAGTAGATGTTTGATTACAATTGTTTGGATCCAACCTGAATAAATGAGTCCTTTCCAGCCAGTAGCAGCACTATCCTTTAAGTGCTGACTCAGAAGGAAGTCCCACAGAGTTCAATGAAATTTAGTAAGTAACTGGGTATAGGATGGAAACCTAAAATCTCATCAAGAGCAAGTGCCATTGGGAAATTGCCCTATTTGCCATTTTCATTGTTGTAGAAAGAAGGAAGAACTCTAAGATCTGGGCTGTATATTATTATTTTTACCAGCTCTACCGGTTTAGAATTCTGAAGGCTCCATGTCAACAGCTAAAAAATAAAACTAAAGTCAATTGAAGTCACACACCTAGGGAAGGAGGAACTTGTTGGTTGGCTTTTTCCTTCTATTATTTTTATCTGATTATATTTCTATCATGACTAATTTGTCCCCTCCCCTTCTTCTTGTCAAGAGAGATTCAGAGATTTTGTGAGGATGAAATGGGATTAGACCATATATTCTACATTGAAATCCTTTGAGGAAGGGCAAGTGGAAAATAAGATAAATAACTAAAGCAACTCTTCCTTGTGTGTCTGGCTTCAATCCATTCCAGGTTTGTGGTGGGATGGGAGCTTGCGTGTTAGCAAGGAGTCTTCCAAATTCTGAACAGGCAGAGTTGAATTACTTATTTTATAAGAAATGAGTAATAAGCTCACCCCAGCTGTGAGATCTTAGATCTGGGAATAAAATTCCTGGATTCATATGAACCACAACTATCTTTCCATATAAAAGTAATAAGATAAACCTTAACAAATTATACAGTGTCCCGATGTCAAAATTGCTAGATATATTTGGATAATACAGTAATAGGATATAAGTGAAAAAGTAACAGAATCAAATATTGTAGTGCAGGGCTGTGATACTGGTAGCCTGTTGACTGGATGTGACCCATGGATACTCCCCATCCTTCTCACCCAAACCCCCCACTGGGTACCAGGAAACCTTTACTGAGTGCATGAGATAATCAAAGAGGTGACATAGAAGAGCTGACATAGACATATAGAGAGCCAGGGAAGAGGCTGGTGTAAGGTTGGAGTGCGTGACAGAGCAATATGGTGCGCTTGCAAACGGTCTTGGAGGAGACTGGCACCTTGCTGGTACAGGGTTTACCTCTGGGCATCTGACATGGGACAGCGTTTCTAATGCCTTGTAGGAGTGTCTGCTATTTGTCTCTACATATGTTTTACTTTGTTTTTTTAAAAAGATACAGTGGTACCTCAGATTACATACGCTTCAGGTTACAGACTCTGCTAACCCAGAAATAGTGCTTCAGATTAAGAACTTTGCTTCAGGATGAAGAAGAAGAAAAAGAGTTTGGATTTGATATCCCGCCTTTCACTCCCCTTCAGGAGTCTCAAAGCGGCTAACATTCTCCTTTCCCTTCCTCCCCCACAACAAACACTCTGTGAGGTGAGTGGGGCTGAGAGACTTGAAAGAAGTGTGACTGGCCCAAGGTCACCCAGCAGCTGCATGTGGAGGAGCGGAGACGCGAACCCGGTTCCTCAGATTACGAGACTACCGCTCTTAACCACTACACCACACTGGCTCTCTTATATGGGATGAGAACAGAAATCGTGCTCTGGCAGCGTGGTGGCAGCAGGAGGCCCCATTAGCTAAAGTGGTGCTTCAGGTTAAGAACAGTTTCAGGTTAAGTACAGACCTCCGGAATGAATTAAGTACTTAACCCGAGGTACCACTGTATTAGGGAGGAAACCTTGTAAGTTTCAGTGTTTTCTCATCCAAATAAAGCCATACACGTGTAGAGCTGCTACCTGCTGTCAGGGACTTGAGGAAATGGCCAGCAGGCAACCATGGAACAAGGGCATTTACAACCCTTGAGAGCCAACCTAAGTTCACCATTTGTTTATGGAGACTACACACCCATAAACTTATATTTTAAACTATTTAATCAGTTCTGAATTGTTATTAAGGGCTTATCCACACTTACTTTCCTCCATGCATGGTCCATGCTTTAAAGCTCCTTTTTTTGCTCCCAAGCTTTCCCTGTGAAAACCCACTCTTTACCACTGAATTAGAGCAGAAAACCCAAATTTCTGTTTGTTGCACTTGATATTTAAACTGCAAGTTTTCCAGCGTGTGCCTGGAAAGTACACAGCAAAAGGTAAGTGTGGATAAGCCCTAAACTGATCTTTTAAACTTTAACCCTCCTTTTCAGTTTTAAAGCCATCCAAAAGTAAAGCTCTTTGCTGAAAAGAGAAATCAGTTTATGCAATACAGTAATTCTGTTCTTCTTTCTAATTATTCCTGCATTGCAGGGGGTTGGACTAGATGACCCTTCGGGTTCCTTCCAATTCTGCAATTCTATGATTCTGTGATCTGTTCTCCATTGGATACAATGTGCGTCACTAAACTTGGAGCCAGTATTCCATAGAAGAGCCTCGTCAAAGGTAATTATTAAGTTCCTTTTTATTACAGGAAATGCCATATCCAGTTCACATCCATGAACTGTTGGTTAGTCATTCCAGGATCAATTTGCAAAGCTCTTTTCTCATCTATCCCAGCTAATAATATCCTGATTCAAAGCAATTTTCTTTATTATTAGTCTTCAAGCTTATTAGCTTACATTATGAACAATTAAATGTTCATTATATCTAGCCCTCTTAAAGTGCCACTTATTTCTACAAAGCTCCTTCCAGTCTTTCAATGCATTAAACAATGCGTTAACAACACGAACACAGTAAGCGTGTTTTGGATTTGTACACTTTCTTTCTCTAGAAAAAATGGGATGAATGGAAAACTTGGCTACTTTGCTTCTACTTCATAGGTTAAATTCACACTCTATATGTTTATTAATTAATTAATTAATTAATTAATGAAAATTTCACTGGATTTCTACAAGGAATAAATTTGTATTAGTATGGCGGATTTTTGCCTGGAGAATTTGGACCAGAGACTGTCCCATTCCTTCTGGTATCAGACAGAAGATGCCATTCTATGAGTAATTGAAAAAAGCTTCATATGATGGTCTTTCCTGCTATGCTGACTAAGGTATGGGAGAGAAACAATACATGGGCAGAAATGCAATGATCCACTTCTCCAAATTTTGTGATGCAGTTCTCCAACCAAATATGTACAAAAATGCATATATTAAGGGAAAGTGTGCATTACAAGGCATATGTTTGTGACAATAACATACAAGACTGTATTGTTGCTTGCAAAATATGTATATTAGGCAAAAGTGCATTAAACATGGCTGTATTTGAAGAAGGGCACAGTAAAAGGCTGAGGAATTTTCAGTTCTCCAAAATGTGGAGAACTTGAGATTTGCAGGGAAATTGAAAGAAATCAAAATGAACAGATTTCCCCATTCCTACATGCTGTTGATAAAAAATGGTTAGCAAAATTAGCAGCTTGGTTTAAAGGTCTAGTCATATATTCCCAGTAGTGATGTATGGAAGTGAGAGCTGGACCATCAAGAAGGCTGATCGCCGAAGAATTGATGCTTTTGAATTATGGTGCTGGAGGAGACTCTTGAGAGTCCAATGAACTGCAAGAAGATCAAACCTATCCATTCTTAAGGAAATCAGCCCTGAGTGCTCACTGGAAGGACAGATCGTGAAGCTGAGGCTCCAATACTTTGGCCACCTTATGAGAAGAGAAGACTCCCTGGAAAAGACCCTGATGTTGGGAAAGATTGAGGGCACAAGAAGAAGGGGACGACAGAGGACGAGATGGTTGGACAGTATTCTCGAAGGTACAAACATGAGTCTGACCAAACAGCGGGAGGCAGTGGAAGACAGGAGTGCCTGGCGTGCTCTGGTCCATGGGGTCACGAAGAGTCGGACACGACTAAACGACTAAACAACAACATATACATTTAAGAGAAACTGAAAATAAGTTGTGTAAAGTTTTTAAGGGAACTTTAAATCTGCTATTTGTTTATACCTCACAATAAATACAACAGTGTCAGCAAAATAGGTCAGAGTCACTCCACTCTTTTAAAAAAGCAGGGAGGCTTGTGCTTTTGATAATCATGTCCACGAGGGATAGCTCATTCAGTGGAGAAGGTATACTTTGTACATAAGTCCTTTTAATTATATGACAAAATAGTAATTCACCATGAAGAGCCACTGAGTTGATCAGGATTATAGATGCTTTTTCGGAGCATTGCAATGGTCTTAAAACACAAGGGACACAAATAATTTCCTCCTTTGCCAAATGGCACCCCTGACAGACAACTGCACCCAATAAATAAATGTGCAGGGCCTAATTCTGTGGGTGAAGAATTCGGGGGGGCGGGGAGGAATGCAAGTACTGTATAATGGAGGAGAAGAAATATTTCAGGTCTAAGAAAAGCCATAGTAGGATTATGGTGGTTTTGAGGTGTCAGAAAAAGAATAATTATGAATGAAGTGTGGGAGGGGTGGATTACGCTAATTCTAAGGAGTGAAACAAGGGATCTATGGGTGAAGAGGCAGATGCTTACGGGAAGGCAACTGTTTCATTATCATTTTAATTTTCTTGATCCAACATAATTTTTATGCCTGCACAATGCTTCAGTTCTCACCTACTCTACCCTGGCATTAGCTTAGAAAAACACAGTGCACCTGTATGGCTATTGTTCTGAATGTAGCAATATAAATGACATGAGGGTGGAATTGAAAGTTTTGACTGTGAGGACGACAGCATGTATGAGTTCTTTAAAGGGGTGTCTTTGTGGTTTATTTTATGATTGTAATAAAATGTATGTACTTATTTTAATTGTTATGTTTTTGTAACCCACCCACTACAAATAATAAAGGCATGTGATTTCTGTTTGTAATTTATCCTGCCTCATATCATGTTCCACAACAGAACAAAGTCTTACATCATCAGTATTGTTATTATTTAATTAAATTTGTATACCGCCCTTTATCCGAAGATCTCAGGGTGGTTCACGGCATAAAAATACAAAATAAAAACATAAAAATAAATTTTAAAAAACAAAATTTAGAATTATGCATTAAAAGTCTTTGAACCTTATGGTTCCTTTAAAACATTTATCTGGTTTTATTGGAAGATGCTCATTAATTTAAGCCCAGCAAGGTACAAAAGGCGATTTCCCCAGTTTACATGCCACTATTACCTGCTTTACTTCATTTGCCATTAATTGACACTGGGATAGCTCAGGCAGTAGAGCATGAGGCTCTTAATCTCAGGGTCATGGGTTTGAGCCCCACGCTGGGCAAAATAATCCTGAATTGCAGGCGTTTGGACTAGATGACCATTGTGGTCCCTTCCAACTCTAGGTAGCAAGTCAGAGGTGGGCAACTGCTGGCCCATGAGCTGATTGCTGTCCTGGAGACCTTCCCATCTGGCCCATGGCATCCCTTCCTTGCCATCCCATTCCCTCATTACAATTAGCACTTTTTGAGCCACATCACTTCAAGATGCCTCCCAACCTTCAGCTCTTTGCCTCTTAATTTTTTTCTCTTTCCTTCTGTATCTGTAGGTTCCAAAAGTCTACCACATACCTTTTGTGATCAGCCTTCTTACAGTCTAGTTTTTCCAGGTGAATTCCATTACAATTACTTTTAAAGGCATTATAGGAGATGTAATGTTAGTCATAATAGGAAACTATAGTAGGAATGCTGTAAAAAATAATGAGTGATGCATGCTACTGTATATTTAAGTGGCTTAGTTCCTGCAACAGTTCTGGAGCTCTGCATTATTTGTCTAATGGTGATGCCTTCTTAATACTCAGGTAATTATTGCTTCATTCATGTGTGCAAGTCAAGAAATGTGTCAACAAAAACAGGCAGCAAGGTGATGTTAAAAGCAAGGCTTTCCCCCCCTTGTTTCAGGAGCTGCTTCACTTCAAATCCCTGAAAAGAAGTGGGAAAAACATACCTGAACCAAGGTACATCACTCTCCATTCACATCAGCCAATGCTGGAGGCGATGGGTTAGTGATTCTCCTTACCACTGGGTTCAAGCATGTGAGAGGCCTTCCTTGAAGGAGCTCTGGACCAAGCAGGGTCATTCTCTCCTTGCATCAACCAATGCAGGGTGATCCTTCTTAGTGCTGGGTTTGGGTGCACAAGCAAACTCCCTGCAGGGAATTCTCTCATGCACCCGGACCGAGTAGGATCACTCTTGTCTCACATCACCTGGTGTGAGGGGAAGGGATCCTGCCAGGTCCTTGATTTGCACAGCAGTTCAAAGGCTCCTGACAGTGAGTTGGCTGTTGGACACTTTGGAAGCTGCTCAAACACACTTGACAAAGTCTCGCCCTTTGGGCCTAGCCCCAACATTACCTGTATGTTGTTAGGTGTAGGGCGGATGGACATGGTTTGCCCCAAATGGCCTCATGGGCCAAATGGGAAAGCCTGACAGTCCATGATTCACCCACTAGCTGGAGTTTCCCCCACCCTTCCTATATATGAACAGATTAATGTACCCCTGAATGTGTTCAGAGTACATTTCCCCACCTGTGATAAAAGAATCATAGAATAAAGGAAAGAGGTGTGTTTAGGTGCTGTTTAGGAATACATGGCCTCTACAATATATGTTGTTACACGCCACCCCTAGCTCCAAGCGATGTGAGATTCCAGGGGTTCTAGGTGCTTACCCAGAATTCGGGTTTCCTTCAGAAATCAGGCACAGTGGAGACCGTGGTGTCTTTATGATATATGGTTTAATTTACACATATATACAACCTGCACCTAGATGGTGAGTTTGCAAAGCATTCACATCTTATGAGTGTCTGGCTTCCCCCTTAAGGGCAGCACTGGTTTCAAAGGACAACAAAAAGCCATACAGTCGTACCTTGGAAGTTGAACAGAATTGGTTCCAGAAGTCCGTTTGACTTCTGAAACGTCCAGCTTCCAAAATGTGGCTTCTGATCGGCTGCAGGAAGCTCCTGCAGCCAATCGGAAGTTGCATAAGCCACGTCGGACGTTTGGCTTCCAAAATAACGTTTGAAAACCAGAACACTTACGTCCAGTTTTCGATCGTCTGGGAGCTGAAACATTTGACTCCCAAGGCGTTCGGGAGCCGAGGTACAACTGTAATCTGTGCCCCTTAGTTCCAGCCCGTCATTGCCAGCTCACATTCCCAGTTCTGCCCCTCCTTATCCTTCTTACTGGACTACAAGGACTTCCCCCAGCCTATGTCATTCAAATTCGAAACTGTAAACCTGGCCCTTATCTGCTGCCATTGGCTTTTGTCTCTGCTACTGGGGGGGGGGGAGGGAGCTCCTCCCCTCTGCTGGCTGGCAATATTTGCATTACCAATAATTCTTAATGGCCCAGAATTCTGCTCTCTTTGCTTCTTGTGAATGGCCCATCTTGTCTCAAGTGACTTCCTGAGCATGGAAAACTGGTTTGGTGTGCTAGATCAGCGGTCAGCAACCTTTTTCAGCCATGGGCCGGTACTGTCCCTCAGACCATGTGGTGGGCCGGACTATATTTTTTTGGGGGGGGGAATGAACAAATTCCTGTGCCTCACAAATAACCCAGAGATGCATTTTAAATAAAAGGACACATTCTAGACAGGTAAAAGCACGCTGATTCCTGGACTGTCCACGGGCAGTTGGGCCAGATCCAGCCCCTCGGCCTTAGATTGCCTACCCCTGTGCTAGATTCAGTGTCTGGCAGCTTCCCTTAATACTAAATGTACTAAATCTAATAATTTAGGAGGATCTAGCCCTCCACAAACTCCTAATACCATACTAATTCCAATCTTTATGAGGAAAGTTCTGGTGCCCATGTAGCCAAATGTATGTACAAGGGGGAAGTGTAAGAATATTTGAGAGAGCAGCAAAATTTTTAGGAGGAATCTCAAAAAGTGCCACAGTATACTACTGACTGACTGTTGGGGAAGGGGGAAAAAAACTAGGTGAGAGGGGGAAAGGAACAGAGTAGCTGGAATCCTGAACAGGGAGAATTCCACTCTGCAACATTTAGTTGCAAGTACCACTGGTACATGCTAATGGCAAACATCGGTGCTGAGTTGTGATGGCTATATAATTAAAACAGGGGTACTGAGAAACCGGGGGGGGGGGGTTGTCCACACAACTCTTTAAGAAAAATCCTCTCCAAAATAGCCCAATAAGGGTTGAGCATGATCAGTGGCCACAAGGTGTTGTTTATCTGTTGTGGGTGGGGGAAATGGAATGGAATATCCTGAACCATAACTTCTATAATTATTTATTGGCAACAAAACTATATAAAGGAGAATACTTCCTCTGTTACTATATTACCAACTCAGTATTGTGAGCTCAGCGGTATTTTCTGGTGGATCTTAGGCCCTGTTAACTATTTGAAGAATGTTCAGAAGTCAGTATATGATTGCACATAGCTTGAGTGAAGATATGTCTCTCTTGACCATGCATACATTTTTCTGAAGGTATTGCTAGTTCTTTGACAGACATTGCATGCTGATTCTCTTCATAGTTTCTCTGGGTTGAGTACCTTACTTTTGCAACATCCAAATACAAGTTCTGCTGTTATTTTACTAATTCTGTTCCACCTGATTTCCACTGTACTCATGAAAGTGATATAACCTTCACCATGTTTCCATGAGTAAAGCAACATTGGAAATGCTGCATGTCAAAATGACACTTTGCCTGATTCTGGGTGCATTCAGATGTGGGGATTATTGAATTAGTTTTCCAGGTTATAATGAAAGCACTTCTGTCTCAGTTTCCTTTTACACTGCATTACCTTTTGCATTGGAGGGACGCGGGTGGCGCTGTGGGTAAAACCTCAGCGACTAGGACTTGCCGATCGCATGGTCGGCGGTTCGAATCCCCGTGGCGGGGTGCGCTCCCGTTGCTCGGTCCCAGCGCCTGCCAACCTAGCAGTTCGAAAGCACCCCTGGGTGCAAGTAGATAAATAGGGACCGCTTACTAGCGGGAAGGTAAACGGCGTTTCCGTGTGCTGCGCTGGCTCGCCAGATGCAGCTTGTCATACTGGCCACGTGACCTGGAAGTGTCTTCGGACAGCGCTGGCTCCCGGCCTCTAGAGTGAGATGAGCGCACAACCCTAGAGTCTGTCAAGACTGGCCCGTACCGGCAGGGGTACCTTTACCTTTACCTTTTGCATTAATGGGACGCGGTGGCGCTGTGGTCTAAACGGTTCGAATCCCTGCAACGGGGTGAGCTCCCTGCGACGGGGTGAGCTCCCCACAACAGGGTGAGCTCCCCGCAACAGGGTGAACTCCCGTTGTTTGGTCCCAGCTCCTGCCCACCTGGCAGTTCGAAAGCATGTCAAAGTGCAAGTAGATAAATAGGTACCGCTCCGGCGGGAAGGTCAACAGCGTTTCCGTGCGCTGCTCTGGTTCGCCAGAAGCAGCTTAGTCATGCTGGCCACATGACCTGGAAGCTGTCTGTGGACAAACACCAACTCCCTCGGCCTATAGAGTGAGATGAGCACGCAACCCCAGAGTCGTCTGCGACTGGACCTTACAGTCAGGGGTACCTTTACCTTTTGCATTACGAATCTGTGGCTGTTTGATCGATATACCATTATGTTACACTAAATTTCATTCACACCAGTAGCTAAAGGCATCAATGGACATCACCACCCTTAATGTGCATGCATGCTTCTGTTTTCCCACTATTCACCATGAAACTGGTGGAAAAGAACTATGCTGGAATGTCACCCCAAACTTAATCACATGGCATGATCCATGTAATTTCCCCACCTGGAACTTCTGAGGCATGAAGTTCCAGGTGGGGAAGTTACAGCACAAACCTCCTGTGGATGTTTGGGTAAACGGGGTTGAAAATGGATTTCTTTTCTGGGAACAATTCACACAGAAATGAGTGCTAAGCTTCCACTAGATTTCCAGAAGTGGCTTTTATGTTGCGTTAGATCATTTAAAACATGGAAATTACCAGGTAAGGAAACATCAGAAAAACAGAATAAAGTGCTTTCTGACTGAAGCAGTTTTCTATTTGGCAAAGACACTGAATCATTCCCTGGTTCTCCAGATAATGCTTACTATTTATTTATTTATTTGTAGAACTAGTATTAACAAGCAACTGAAACACGGAATACTTCCAATGATTATCATGGATATCACACAGCAGTAAAGGTATACAGTGCTAGTGCAACCCTGAAATGAATTACTAACCCAACAGATTCAAATAATGTTACTCACAGACATTACCACTGCATACCCACAAATGCAGTCACACAGATTATATAGGCTCATAAAATTCATTGAAAAGGTGTGACCAGTTTCTCAAGTCAAATCTATGTATTAATTTGGATCTATCTGTACTTCTCCATCTTGTGTAAGAATCTCAATATGCTCGGTTTTTCACCTTGTAAAAATGATACTTAGACTTATGCAGTATGTCTAGATTGAGCAGCTTGCTTGACAATTAGCCAGAACAATCTAGTATGCTAAACTTTTAGTAGCATAACTGGATTTTTATTTTGAAAGGAAGCTACAGTAGCTAGTGTTTCCAGCCACACCTAGAAGTCTGTGCAGACTTTCCTGCTGAGCAATAAATACGATAAAGATAGCAAAGCTGCAATCCTAGGGTTGCCATACGTGTGGAAAGCTCAATAACTTTTGGGGGTTTACTTTAAAAAAAGCTCACTTTGGGGTGTCCTGGTTTTTACTTTTTGAAATATGGCAACCCTATAATCCAGAATAGATTATTACAATCAACTACTACACTATGGAAAGAGGATTGTGGACTGAGGAGAATACTGTGTAGCATGCATTGGATAAAGCAATGGAAACAAGTTTAACATGGGGTTTACAAGGTTTCTCAAACAGTTAGGACACCCTTCTTCTGAGGCATGAAGTTCTAGAGTGGAATAGGATCCTGGGACTGGCATAGTCTTCATCTCCCATCATTTAAGACCAGGATACATTGAATGCCCTCTGACAATGGATCCTTGCTCATCTTTTTTGCCCAATCATCCTAATATAATTTGGGAAGAAAAGAATTTAGAGCAAGCTGCTGCTTTGTTCTTTATGTTTTCCTAAAGTTAAGACTTTAGGAGATAGTCTTCAGGAGAACTCTTCTGTTTGATGCTTCCTGTAATGATAATATCTGAGAGGCATGAGAAGGCAGTGTTAAGCTCAGAAGGGGGGCTCTCAGCTCAAACTGTTTTGAGGACCACTGCTTTACAAAGACATCCATGTAAAAAGACATCCATCACAGAAAGAATACAATTTCAAATGGCTTATTTTGGATTATTCATCTAGTTTCTTTATTGTTCTGACAGTTTCAGAACAAAAAGTGGGTAGAGCCTTACCATCATGGTTAATCCCAAGACTTGCTGTGCTAGGAAATTGATGCTAAGGGTGGTGATTACTGAACGGTGGTTCCAAGTGCAACATCAGAAATGACAATCACTAATGCCTCAAGTTTATGTCAGCATATTGAGAAGTGTAGTGTCATGTTTCAACTCCCCCAAATACTTGGGGGCTATGTGTGTTCAGTCTGACTAGGGATAGTCAACAATCATCCCTGATCATCAGCCATGTTGGCTGGAGTTGATGGGATTTTAGTCCACAACATCTGGAGGGCACCAAGTTCACTACCTCTCAGATTAATATTTATTTTGAGGCTTTTCCAGCCAGAGCTTCCTCAAGGTGACTCACAACAAGCGTCATTTCACTTTGGCCAAGCTTCCTTAAATGATTTGCGGACTGTGTCCTGTTAGGAAGTTCCTGAAGACTGATATGTCAAGTAGAGGTATACTATTAAACCAATAATTACTGAAATATTGTGACTTCTCCAATTACCCCTTTGTCCCTCTACCCACACAAATTACTCCTTTGCGTGGAATAAGTGAAAATGGAATAAGTGAAAATTACCATTCTTTCCTGCCCCGCCCAATGGAGCCTCCACTGGAACAGTTTACAGAAGAGCAACTCAGGATCAAGCCATAGTGTGCATAGTGTAATTGAGTTTACTGAATTAAAATTATGACAATTTCCTCTTGATTATAATAAATTTAACCATTCTCTTCTCATGGTTGGCCCCAGTCTTCATCAGCTCCTCTTTTGAGCACTTGTAAACTTTGTTTCCATAATTGTCTACTGGAACTAACTATTTTTTCTGCTTATATATTTCAGTTCCTACAACTGACAGAGTGCACAGCAGGTCTATTAATACGCCATGTCTACAGTTCACAGAGGAATTAAACCAGATTACTTGGGTTAAGACCAAACAGGGTGTTTTCACAGGTGTTGCTTAAACTTGTTTTTTTTGGACATCTTTTAATGCCATTGTAAAGCCCACATAGGATTTCTGTTCTACATTCTGCCCTACATTAGCAAGATTCGCATATGTCATAAACAATGAAAAGAAAATTCCAAGGTGCATTTTTGTTTCATGCACAACTAAGGGTTGTGTTCCTACTTGCATTGCTCTCCAACACTGCCTACTCACCAAACCCCATAACCCCCTCCTCTCTCCCTTTACACTTTGCCACCCCCACCCCATTTACACCTCCCCACGGCTGCAGTTGGGAACATAAAGCAGGCTTCCGTTCCTCTCTTTGCATGGCAAGAGAGAGCAAAAGAGAGAAATAAGTTTATCTCCCCCCCCCCAAAAAAAAACACACCACCTAATGCTTTTTAGAACAGCAGCAACCATCTTAATCCTGTTGAAGTCTCTAAGAAAATAAAGAAAATATTATGGAAAACTGATTAAGAAAATTGGCTTTTTATCAGTTATGATTAGACAGATTCTGGCATAACTGGTCTGAGGGTTTGTGCTGTTAAAAGAAACTCTTACTCATCTGCAATACAAATATAAAGCCTTTTCTAGTAACAAGATGCTAGTTTGCATTTTTTGTTCTGATGTTTACAGCAATGCAGACTGAGGGAAAGTGGTAGAAGTTGCTCCATTTGAGTCATGTGAAACCATGCTGAATAAAGCATTCCTGTATTAGAGAGAACAACTCTGGTTGTGGTTAAGCAGGCATAACACTCCATTATTAACTTGTGTGGTAAAATTCTGATGGTAGTTGTTAATTCTGCACTATGATAACAGATCACCCTCAGATAAAAAGTGACCTGGTCAGATAAAGAGTGATATATGTATTATTTAAAGAGAGAAAGATAATCTTTATTTAATGTCTTGGTTGATGATAATTCTAGCATGACACTGGACTTATTAATTGCCTAAGTATCTGTAAGGCACATCCTGCAAAACTCTGCTATCATCTGATATGTCCACCGTCAGCAGGCAATAACTGAAGAACAGTTATTGTTCAAGCTAGCCTGCAGAAGTAAGCAAATGGTTACTTCTGAGGGCTAGCTTGAACAATATCTTTTCCTATTCCTTAACTCTAATAATTTGAATATATTCAAACGTCAGAATCAGACCATACTGTCTGTCTGTATGTGTGTCAGTAGACAGTCTAATTACTCGGAAATATCACTGAGTTTGTTATAAGAATTTTACTTATATCAAGTTCAATGGTGCTTATATACCCAGGGAAAGTGGGTATAGAATTGCAATCTTAATGATACAAGAGGTGGGCAATTTCTGAGTCGAGCAATCTGTCCTCTTCTCTTATTGTGATCCAAAATAACATTGAGCTTTTAAGTAAGATTTTGGGGAAATCCTAACAAAAAAAGAACTTGCAGTCGAGAAGACAATTATAAGGGAATCTCCAGAGTCTGTAGGAAACAGCAGCTGGTGTTCTCCAGGTGCGTTCCGAGCTCTGCTTGCAACCCTTGCACAAGGAATCCGGGTCTGTGGGTAATCTCGGCCTCATCAGGAAAAACAAATGATAATGGCTTATAATTTGCACCCTCGGCGCGGATAAAGTCAGCCTCTCCCTTCCTGCGCAATAGAGCCCCGGCTAATGCGCTTCTTCCTTTGCGGAGCGAGATAACGATCGTCGGGCTTTGAGACGAAGGAATGCGAGGAAACTCCTCCATGAAGAGGAGGAGGCGGCCGCAGCAGTAGGAGCAGCAGCAGCAGCACGGGGCAAAATTAATGAGTAGAGTGCAGCGCAGCGCATGGAATCTCCGGGGAGCCCGGCCGTTTTCGAACGCTCAGCCGCGCCGAGGAGGCGGGGCCGGGCGTGGGCGTGGCTTGTCTTGTCTTGGCTGAGCTGCCGCTGCCATGGCTGGTGCCGCCTTTAGGAGGCGCTTCGCCTTTCTCGCCAACCTCAACTGCATGGCTCGGCGCTACCAGGGCGCGCGCACAGGCGGAGCACCTTCTCATTTACCTGGCCAGCCTCTGGAGCCAAAGGCGGTTGCTGCTGCTGCCGCCGCCGCCGCCTCACAAGTGCCTCCGCCTGCCCGGGACCGGATCCCGTCGAGGACGCGAGCGGCGCCCAGCATGGAGAAAGGGGGCTTCAAGAAGCTCGGCAGGCTCTTCCACAAGAGCGCGTCCGAGGACTCGGAGCCGGACAGCGGCAGAGACGCGTCGTTCCCGTCGCCCTGCCCGTCCCCGTCCCTCAGTCAGGGGCGGCGGGAGCATCTCCACAGCCACGACGCCGCCGCCGCCGCCGCCTCCGGAGAGCGCAAGAAGCGCTCGGCTTTCGGGAACTGGCGCCTCAAGAAGAAGCGCAAGGACCGCCCGGCGGCGCTGCCGGAGGAGGGGAGCCAAGGAGGGGCGAGCGAGCCCCCGTCTCCCTCGCTCTCCCACTTGTCCTACTTCACCACCTGGGAGCCCACGACCCCCACCAAAAGGTAACGCCGCCCCTCTCCCTGTCAGGGCGCGCCCACAGCCACCTGCCTCCCCCCCCCCCAACGGTCACCTCGCAGCCGTTGGTTTCTCTCTCCCCGCCCCGCCCCTCCCGGAACATTCTGAGGGGACTCGGGGGAACGAGCTGCGCTATAGGGGCATCAGTGTTTTTCGGGTCCCGCGTGGCTCAGGGGCTCCTCTGACTGCGCCCCTCTTTATGTTTGTGTGTGTTTTATGGAAGTCGTATAGAGTGCTGGGGCAACTCTATACGGGGCGGAATAACAACAACAATAATAGACGTCGCGAATAATTGTAGAGTAGGAAGGGACCCCCAAGGGTCGTCTAGTCCAACCCCAAAACCTCTCCCCTCCGCCAGGCAGGTGCCCTCAGAGTGGCAGAGCGCTCCCATTGGACAGGTGTGTGGTAAGGGCTATATGCCCCGTCTCCTCCCGTCGCTGCCCCCCCCCCCGGCCAAAGAGAAGCGAAACCGACGAGCAGCGTGAGGGCGCCCCCCCCCCGCGCCAGTCTCCTTAAAGGCACAGCGCTCTTTTCTGGGGTTGCTGATAATGCGGACCCAGCTGTCGTTGCTTCTGGCGTTCGCAACAGTTGGGAGTTGGAACCTTGGCTTCGCCTTGATTCGCCCTGCACAACGTCTCCCTCCCTCCTGCAGCCCTTTCTTCGCGCGCTGTCTCCCCCACTCCGCCCTGGCTTTTAACCCAGGCTGCCATGGTCTCTGCTTTAAAGATTGTTATCTCTCAGTGCTTTTGATGAAAAGGAAGTTGTTTTGTAGGCTGCCAAACTTTATCTCTCCCGCGCGCTCCACCCCACCCCCATTTTTCAGCATTAGAAATATAGTAATTATAATAATAATTTATTATTTATACCCCGCCCATCTGGCTGGGCTTCCCCAGCCACTCTGGGCGGCTTCCAAAAAAAATATTGAAATACTGTAATACATATAGTAAAATCTGTTTGGATGCTTAAATGTAAAGCTGCTGCAGGGGGCACTAAAACAGACCTGGACAGTTCGTATTAGTCACCTGGAGAAAGGTGTTTTTGGTTTTTTAAGATCAAACCTGTTCGCATTTATGGAGGCTTCCCCTTGATTTCCTTTCCACTTCTTCATTGTAGGAATGCTACATTACTTGAATTTTAGCTGGTTATTCGTGGGAAGGGAAAGTGTGACATCTGAAATTGCTTTTACTAGTTGCAAGGGTTTGTATTTTTATTTTGGTGCCTTTAACCTAAGATGGAATGAGCTTAAAACCATTTAAACGTATCCATTTCTTGGTTGTCCTTTGCTTGCTCAATGTAAGAAATTGCATTGGTGGATTAGAACAGGAGGGGGGGAACTTCTGACCCCCAAATATTGATGGACTTATCTACAGCCCCAGCCAGCATTGCCAATGGTTGGAGATTATAGGAATCCAGCAGCATCTGAAAAGCCACAGGTTCTACACCCTTATATTAGACAAACAGGGTCATCCAGATGTCCCTGAGAATCTTAAAAGCGTGGCATGATGGAGGTCGCTCCCTCTTGTTGATCGTATCCAGAATCTGGCACTTAGGGATATATTCCTTCTAAATAGAAATATGAATATGAAGTTTTTGTTTAGCAGCAATGGCAAATAGAAAATAATTGACTGCCCTCCCATGACTTTTTGAAGCTATGTAAAACCGTGGCCAACTCTGCATTTTGGAGAGATTAACCCAAATAGGTTAATTATGCATTGCATAAAGTACTTCTTTATTGTCGGTACTGAACAATAGTGCCATTGCTTGCCAACTGAGATTGTAGCATCCTTGTTACTTTTTAATTTATACAGTAACAGGTACATACATGATCTCATGTGCTATGCTAGCATCCTGGGTGAATAGAACTTTTGTTTATGTTTAATGTTTATCACTTTTTCAAGTCAATGCGACATACAAAATAAATTTTAAAACAAGTAAATATTTTAAATGTTCAGGAAACACTGAATAAAAAAAATTATTGGTAGCTAAGGCTGCAGTCCCCTATGTACATTTGGTTATTAAGGCTGCAATCCAGTTCACAGGGGGGTTGGTTGCAGCCTAAGTATCTGTGAACTCAGGAAAACTTAACATTGAGTTCAGATTTGACTACATTGTTATTTTGGTTTATTTATATAGTTCCATTGGTTTTACCAGCAAGATGAAAATTGAATATCTGTGTGTGGAAGATTTTCTCTGAGAGCGTTCAATGCGTGACCCTTTATACTTATAACAAATAATCTGGTGATACAGACAATACTCTCATAAAAAAGCAATCCTTACTACCTACCCTGCTTTATTTTGTTTGATTTTTTTTAAATAGTAAAGCTCCTTTTGTGTGTCATCTTATCTTGTTTTAAGCATGTACTAAATGTAAAGAAATTAGATAAATTGTGCAAACAAGCATGAAGAGGAATTTCACACACAAAACAAAGTTTCAGTCCAAAAGGGTCATATTTGTCTGTGAAAAAGAACTGAAGGATAATAGTCCATTACAACTGTGTTCCTTATACCTGACCTATTACTCAAAATCCGTGCAAACTTGTAAATTTATTTTATTATTAATTAATATGTATTGCTTAGTAATAATCATTTTCATAGGAACAGTTAAGTTTTTATTAACATATTTTATGTGTACATCAGTTATTTTCTTAACAAACATAAATCATTTTATGCCTGAGGTAAAATTCCTGAGTAAAAATTCAAAATACAATCAAAATTCTGTTAAGTTTTTATTTACCTTCCAGATTAAAAAGAATTCTTGCTGTCTCCATCACTGAACCATCACTTTGTGTTCATTCTGATTTAAATCCCACTCATTCCACTGAAAGTTTGAAGTAACTATGCACAGGACATAGGAGCATCTTGTGGCACTGTGAAGAGTAACACATTTATCATGGCA